GACAGTTACTACTTTTTTTGATTAGTTGGTAGAATTAACTTGTCAAGCTATCTTTCCTGGACATTGCTATGAGGTTTTTTTTTTTATTACCGCTTCAGTTGTTAATCAATCTGTTCAGTTTCTTTGTTTCATCTGTTTCAGTATTGGCAGCTGTATGTTTCCAGAAATTTATTTATTTTTCCAGGTTATTCGATTTGTTGGCATGTATAAATTGTTCATATTATCCTTTGAAAATCCTTTGTTTTTCTGTTGTATCAGTTGTAATCTCTCCTCTTACATTTCTGAGTGTAGAGGCCCAGTGCACATCACAGCGAGCAGTCGAGCAGCCCTTAGCATATCATTAGCATATTATGCTTTGATTGGTTGAATGGCTGACTGGACACTTCGCATATTAGGCTTGTATTTTATAGGATTATTTATTTGAGCTCTCTTTTTGTCTTGATGAGTCTGCCTAAACTATGTTGATAGTTTCATTACTCTCCATTTTTGTTTTAGTCTCTGTTTCTGCTTTGGTCAATTATTTCCTTTATTCTGCTCATTTGGATTTATTTGTTCTTTTTCTAGTTCCTTTTTGTGTTGTTTATTTTAGCTTTTTATTTTTTATTTATTTTTTATTTCAGAGAGAGAGAGAGAGGGAGACAGAGATAGAAACATCGGTGATGAGAGAGAACCTATGATTGGCTGCCTCCTCCACGCCCCCTACGGAGGATCAAGCCCACAACCCAGGCATGTGCCCTTGACCAGGAATTGAACTGTGAAGTCCTGGTTCATAGGTTGACTCTCAATCACTGAACTGCACTGGTGGGGCTGAGCTTTTTCTTGTTTCTTAAGATAGATGTATATAGCTATGAATTTTCCCCTTAGAACTACTTTTACTCATCTTTTAAATTTGGGGGAGTTGTGCTTTCCTTTTTGTTTGTACCTAGGTGTATTTTATTTTCTGTTTGATTTCTTCTTTGATCTATCAATTGTTCAGTCACGTTGTTTAGTGTTTGTGCATGTGTGCTTTTTCCAGTTTTTGTCTTATAGCTGATTTCTAGTTCCATTCCATTATGGTAAAAAAAATATGCTTGATGTGATTTCAGTCTTCTTGAGTTTATTGACTTGTTTTGTGGCCCAGTGTTTAAACAATTTTGAAGAATGTTCCATGTGTACTTAAAAAAATGAGTATTCTGCACTTTTGGGGATGCAGTATTCTGGTAATTTGATGTGATCTAACATGACAACTAAGGCCATTGTTTCCGTATTAATTTGCTGTCTGGATGATCTCCCCAATAATGTTAAAGTAGTAGAGTAGTAAATTAGTAGAATAGTAAAGTAGAGAGTAAAGTTCCCTCCAGTATTATTGCTGTTAATTTTTACCTTTGTGTTCATTAATATTTATTTTAGATACTTAGGCACTATTTTGTAGTTCATAGACATTTATAATTGTTACTAGTATATCCTCTTGGATTGACACCTTAAAAAATTGTGTAATGTCCTTTTTATGAGTATTGCTACCCCAACTTTCTTTTTCATTCTGTTTGCATGAAATATCTCTTTTGATCTCTTCATTCAGTTATATGTGTATCTCTCCATCTAACATGAGTCTCTTGTACACAGGATAAAGATACTTTTTTTTTTATCTATTCTGCTACCCTATGTCTTTTTTAATTTTTATTTTATGTTATTTTACTTTTAATTACAGTGAATGTTCAGCATTCTCTGTTAGTTTCAGGGGTACAGCATAATATTTTTTTAAAGATGTTTTTATTGATTTCAGAAAGAGAAAGGGAGGTAGGGAAAATATATACATCCATGAAGAGAGAGAATCATTGATCAGCTACCTCCTACATGCCCCCTACTGGGGATGGAGCCTGCAATCTAGGCCTGTGCCCTGACCAATCACTGAGCAATATCAGTCAGGCTTTTAAAATATTATTGATTATATTCATTATGCTGTAATTTACATCCCTGTGACTATTCCGTCTTTTGAATGGAACATTTAGTCTGTTTACATTTTAAGGTAATTATTCATAAGTATGTGGCTCAGTGCCCCCCCCCCCTCCTTTTTTTCTTTTGGTGGTGGAAGTGTTTTTTTTCTTGATCTCTTTACTTTTGATTTGTTGGCTTTCTTTAGTGTTTTGATTGGATTCCTTTTTCTTTGATTTGTATATTTTTTATTGTTGGTTTAAACTTACCAGGAGGTTTATAAAATCCTTCTATATTTATAGCAGTGCATTGTAAGATGATTGGCATTTAAGTTTAAACATGTTCTAAAAGCACACTTTTTATTACCCCTTTCCGTACTTTGTGTTTTTGATGGTATATTTTATATCACTTTGTTTTATTTCCTGATTATTGGAGTTACAGTGACTTTGCTACTTTTGTCTTCTTTTATATTAGCTTTTTAGCTACTTTACTATATTCTGTATTTGCTTTTATCTATGAGATTTTTCTTTTTCGTGTATTTTTTATTACTGGTTAGGGTCTTTTCTGCATAAAGAAGACCCTCTAATGTTTTATGAAGTGCTAGTTTGGTGATGATGAACTTCTTTAGTTTTTGCTTGTTTGGGAAACTCATATTTTTTCCTTTAATTCTGAATGATAACCTTGCTGGGTATAATTTTTTTTTTCATTTGAAGATATTTCCTCCCACCCCCTTCTGGCCTGCAAAGTTGCTGCTCAAAAATCAGCTGATAACCTGATGGGAGCTCCCTTTTATGTGACTTGTTGATTGACTCTTAGTACCTTCAAGATTATCTCTTTATTTTTAACTTTTGCTATTTTAATTACAATTACCCACTTGGTATGAGTCTCTTTGGGCTCATCTTGTTTAGAACACACTGTTTGCTGGACCCGGATGTCTCTTTCCTCCCCCATATTAGGACAGTTGTCAGATATTATATCTTCAAAATACACTTTTTGCCCCTTTCTATCTTGTAGGATACGTATAAGGCAATGTTAGCGTGCATATTTGATGTACTGATTGCTCTCATGCCCTAATCTATTTTCATTAAAAAATATATATTTTTGCTGCTTTGATTGGGTGATTTTTACTATTTGTTTTCAAGGTTGCTAATCCATGTAAAGTAACTAGTCTGTTGTTTATTCTTTCTAGTATGTTTTCCATTTCAGTTATTGAATTCTTCAGCTCTGAATGTTTCTTTGAGATATATATATATATTATTTTTTTACAGACAGGAAGGGAGAGGGATAGAGAGTTAGAAACATTGATGAGAGGGAAACATCGATTAGCTGCCTCCTGCACACCCACTACTGGGGATGTGCCCACAACCAAGATACATGCTCTTGACCGGAATCAAACCTGGGACCCTTCAGTCCACAGGCTGACACTCTATCCATTGAGCCAAACCGGTTAGAGCTCTTATATTTTTCAACTCTTTGTTGAAGTTCTCTGTTTCTCTATTTTAAAATTGTTGGGCATTCTTATGACCATTTCTTTAATTCTTTATCAGGCAAATTACCAGTGCTACTTTCTTAAGAGTTTATTTCTGCTTTTTTTGTTGTTCTTCAGTTAGGAAATATTTTGTCTCCTTATTTTGCTAGAGTTTCTGTGTTTCTTTCTGTGAGTTAGGTGAAATGACTCTCTCTCCCAATGTTGAAAACATTGCTTTTATAGTAGTGAATTTATTAGACTGTGTGCTGGATGCTTTTAGGCTGGATGAAGTTGGATCAGCCACCTGTAACAGTGGGTGCCACTGGCCAGGAGGAGCATTCATGGGCAAGATGGCCTGATGACTGTTTGATTAATTGTGCCCATCTGGTCTAGGTGGTGAGTCCCTGTTGGTGACTTTATAGCACTCTTCCTGGATCAAAATTAGACCCATTCCTATTATTTGACTGCTGCTTGAGCCCAATCTGTGTTGGGTCCCCTTGTGTGTGTGTGTGCGCACACTCCGCTGTATCATGCTGGTTCCATCTCATACAGCAGGGCTGCCCTGTGTATATGTAGCAGTGGGTTGGTCTGTGTGTGTCTCAACGCCTTATTGGATCCATTGGACCTTGTTCACCTGCTGTAGTGCCATCTTGTTTCTTTTTGAGCTAGCTTCAGGAGAAACACTATTGCAGCCGTGCAGATTAATCAGAATCACTGGATAGAACTCACATCTGAGCTATCCAAGTTGGGGGAATGCAAAGAATGCCACACACTTGTTCCTTTAATTTTGATGGGTTCTCCAGTGGTCTCTATGTGGTCTCTCTCTCTTCTGTGTGTGTTTGTTCAGTTGTCTCTCAGGAGAAATTCCTCTAAATATAGGTATGTGTTCAATATGTGGGAGTGGGTGAGCTTTATGTCTTCACATTGTTATGTGTGTTGGACCTACCTTCTTGGTTTTTTTTTTATTTTTTGTATAGCATTATTTCTCCAACATTGTTATGTAGTATATTTCATTTTTCTCAATGTAATTCACAGAACCAGTTTTGAGTAGCCATTTATTGGTCAACGTTTTGTATCTGTTCTTACTTACATAAATAAAAATGTACTTACCATCAGTGTTTACATGTGACATGATTTTTAAATATTCTGAAAAATTCTGATTGCTCTGAGGGCCTATTCTGAGGGATTGTTTTTGTGTGTGTGTGTGTTTAAACTAAATCTATCATGCTGTCCCAAATCTCTAATTTTAAAGCTTTGTGCCAGGGTAATAACCTACCTGTGGTGGGAGAATTACAAGCATTTAAAGTGTGTACCAATATCAACTTGGGATGTTTATAGGAGTTAACAGGTGTAGGTTGTTAGGGGACCAGTTACATTTTTTAAAATAGACGTTTTTATTAATTTTTCTTATAATCTTTGTGAGAACTGGGAGTAATTTATAGCGGAACTCAAGGTAGTAGTAATGACAATAGCTAATATTTATTGCTTGTCACTTGATACTGACTTATTTGCAAGCATTTGTTTTTCATACAGTTCTTGAAACCTAGTGACTTAAAGGCACTTTTGTTTCATTCAGTTTATAGTATAATAATGACCCTTTTTTTCCCCCATTAATTTTCAGGTCATCAAGAAAATAACAACTTCTGCTCTGTTAACATAAATATTGGTCCAGGTGATTGTGAATGGTTTGTCGTTCCTGAAGATTATTGGGGTGTTCTGAATGACTTCTGTGAAAAGTGGGTTTTTGAACTTTTAAAGTAATTTTGAAAAACATCTTTTGTAAAGGACAAAAGCATGATGCTGAATTTCAATTTATAGTTTAGCAGAAATTTAATTTTAAATTATCCTATTTCAAATTTTTTATTTTATATTATTTGGAATAATATATGAAAGGCCATGAAACCAGAAGTAGTAATAGGCATGAATTCAGAAGACAAAGAGTGAATTATTTCTTACGTTAATTTTTAAAATTGTTACCTGAATCCACATTCATTTGGCAAGTGTGCTTTAAGAGAAATTTAGCTTCCTGTAACTGAATTTAAAAATTGTAAGAATTCTAAAATTAAGTGCTCTTTTACTTTGTTAATGTGTATCTTTGTGAATCAGCTAAAATTTTCACTTGTCCAACAGTAAGCAAATCATCTGCTATTTTCAGAGTGGATAATGATACTAGTATAACCATGTAAATTATTGGTATAACCATGTAAGTTTTACATACTTATAATGATAAAAAAATTGGGTGAAATTCTCATAATACACATCAGATTATTTTTAAATCAATATACATTAATTTTTTAACATTTTGGAGGGTTTTATCAATATATTTTATTTAGTAAAAAGTACATCATAGTGGCTAAAAAAATAATATTCATTTACTGGCACTTTTTTTTTTAATTACCACTCAAGGATATGTTTAAAGAGAGGGGAATGTGGGGGGAGAGAGAGAGAAATCCTTGTGAGAGAGAAATGTCGATCAGTTGTCTCCCATATGGGCCCTGACCAGGGTTTAAACCCACTGCTTGGGTGTGTGCCCTGCCCAGGAATCAAATCCACAACCTTTTTTGGTGTATGGTACCACACTCCAATCAGCTGAATTACATGGCCACGGCAAGATAGGATTACTTTTAAAATTTTGTTTTATGTATATGTTTTCCTCATGCTGAGGTGAAATTTAAAAGAATTTTTTAGGAAAATAATCTTTTTTTAAAAAAATATATTTTATTGATTTTTTATAGAGAGGAAGGGAGAGAGATAGATAGAGAGTTAGAAACATTGATCAGCTGCCTCCTGCACATCTCCTACGGGGGATGTGCCCGCAACCCAGGTACATGCCCTTGACTGGAATCGAACCTGGGACCTTTCAGTCCGCAGGCCGACGCTCTATCCACTGAGCCAAACTGGTTTCGGCAGGAAAATAATCTTATATCTGAACTTTATCAGCAAACTAGAAGCTTAAGCAAAGAAAAGAGAATTGAGTCTTCAAATTAAAAAAAAATGTATATTGTAGTATTTGTTATACATTTAGTACACTGGTTCTTACTATATTGGGTGGGAACTATTTTCACACAGACAGGTGAACCAGGTCACAAATAGTTGAAAAAGTCAGGTGATGTCCCAGAAGTTTGAATTCAGAGTAATAAATAAATCAAGTTAGAATGATTCACTTGTCTAAATTGTAAAAATGACACTTTCCATCTCAGCTTTTGCCTGTAATGTTATATTCCATAAAGATAATTGCTTTCAATGTTTATAATTCCTGTTTTAATTTTATGACTCTATGAAACATTTATCTTTCAATTATTGTTCTCAACTTTAGAAGAAAAATGATCAATTGGACTTTGTTGGCTTTCCTTTCTTTAAATGGGAAGTTTTTTCCAACTTTATATTGGTAGTGTTTGGGTAAATAGAACTAGCTTGTACTGTCATTTTTTAAGAGGAAAGATAGAAATAAAGTAAAAACATCTTAAATCTTCAGAAAGGTACAGTTCTATCATGTGAATTTCCTCTCCTTGAGATTAAATAATTTGAAGTACCTAAAGTCTATATCATTAAATTCTTTTTAGAAAAAAATTGTTAATGTCGTTACTTAATCTTGTGATGGAGAGTAGTAAATAATTAAAATTTAAAATAAAGCTTAATAATTTGTTCTGTTTGTGTTGGTGGTGCTGGTAGTGGTGGTATATGTGATAATAGGGACCTTCTAGCAATTCCTGGGAGAAAGTAGAAAATAGAAAAAGTGTGGATCCATTGATGAATTAAGGGAAGGTTCTTGTTATATCTGCCACAGTGATTCTGATTAAGAAGTTTAATTGGCTTTATGTAGTCTTCGCTCTTAATTTCCTTTTCAGGAATTTTAGATAATAAAGAGATTCTTCAGGAAGAAGGGATAAATCAGACTATTCTTTATTGAAAGCAAATTATAAACCAGAATACCTAAGTATAATGTTGGACTGTAATTTTTGGATTTTGAGAAGTGTAAATGTAAGCATATTGTAAAGATCTTTGAATAAATCTCCCTGCTCTTGCCTGCTGTCAATTTTGTTTTAAAGCCCTCACTTTTGAAAAATGTAGCTCTTATTGCAATGCTGTTAAATTTTAATGAAGTATGCCCTGAAAACTTTTTAATATTTTGAAATTATTTCCACATGTTTGATGAAACATTGAAAAATTTATTTCCTTTATTTTTCAGAAATAATTTGAATTTCCTAATGAGTTCTTGGTGGCCCAACCTTGAAGACCTTTATGAAGCAAATGTTCCTGTATATAGGTTTATTCAAAGACCTGGTGATTTGGTCTGGATAAATGCAGGCACTGTGCATTGGGTTCAGGCCATTGGCTGGTGTAACAATATTGCTTGGAATGTTGGTCCACTTACAGGTATTTTAAACAATTCTTTAACAGATTTTACATGTTGACGAGTTTTTTTAACGTAGATACTGTTTTTCTACTAGCAAATAGCTCACTAAAAATTGAAAGGTTGTGTCTGCTAGAAAAAATTGAAGAGTACAGAGAGTAAATTGAAGTTAAGAAATGGATATTCAAGAACAGATGTTCAAAATGTCTATTTTGTTTTTATAAAGGAAGTTATTCTATGGACAAAACTGAAACAGAACTGTTATTTAGAATTTTTATTTCCTCTGGTATACCATATGCGCTGTCTTAAAACATCAAACTGTTAAATATGGATAACTTAAAGAATCTGGCCTTTGGAGCTAAAAAGACCTTAATGATATCTTCTTGGTTCTACTTTTGTTAAACCGTGTAACTTCAGGAAAATGTTTAGAATTTTTCAGGGCCTCATTTATTGTTTTTTTAATCTGCAAAATGAGAATTGTAAAGTCAATAAGGCTTTGAAATAATGAAATGAGATAAAGTATAAAAAGCGTGGCACAGAGGTCAACCTTAGTAAGTGCTCTTTACAGGATAATTTTTTAAAAACTATAATTATCATTTAAAAATCCTCTAATATTTTGAGTTTTCTAGAATCGGTATTGAAGTTATCACCTGAAAGGTGATAAATGATTATCTTTATATCTGTCATTACTTTGGGTTACTTTATAACTTTGAAAAATTCTTTTTCTCCTAGCCTGCCAGTATAAATTGGCAGTAGAACGGTATGAATGGAACAAATTGCAAAGTGTGAAGTCAGTAGTACCCATGGTTCATCTTTCTTGGAATATGGCTCGAAATATCAAAGTCTCAAATCCAAAGCTTTTTGAAATGATTAAGTAAGTGCTTTTCAAAACTGCTATAGGGGTAAGGGGGTGGGTGTACAACTAATCAATTTTTCCCCCACACTGAAAAATGATAAAATAGTTGACAAATGCTAAAATAGTTCTGAAGTTTTGGCCAGAAAATGTAATAAGACAATTCACATGTTAAAGATATTTTCTTCCATAAATGAAAATATTTATGTATAAATTTATTTTCTTTCCAAATAGACTATATTTATTATGGTATAGAGAGGAATTAAGGTATACATGATTCTATACTAAATTCACACATCTATGCTTTCTATTAACCTCTGACCAAACTGATTTCCAATGACCTTGATTTTGTTTTTTGTTTGTTTGTTTGTTAATCCTCACCCAAGGATATCTTTTCCATCACTTTTCAGAGACAGTGGAAGGGACGGGGAGAGGGGAGAGAAAGAGAAACATATATAGGAGAGAAACATTATCGCCTACACTCAGGTGGGGAGCGAATCTGCATCCCAGGAATGCACCCTTAACGTTTGGTGCACAGTTTGCTGTCCTAACCACTGAGCACCATGGGCCAGGGCTGTTTTAATATTTGAAGTTTGCCAACACCAATTGAGAATGAGAATATAATACATATATTTCATAATAAAATTGTCACTTAGAATACTGATTTTACTGAAATGGTAAAAATTTTTGGCTGCTCTAATTAAATAATCCCTTTCTTAGTTTCGTGATGCACTCATTACAAATTTAAAGATTATCAGTTTGAATTATATGTATTGTAGTAGCTTCTCTTTTATTTGCCTAGTTTCTATTCCTTAATTTTTTTTTAAGAATACAGTAGGTCCTTGGGTTACGTCAGAGATCTGTTCCTATGGTGCGTCGTAATTTGATTTTCACCGTAAGTCAGAACCCACCTACATAAGCACCTACATCACTCACATGGAGCACATAACAGCAGTAATGAAGTGAAACAGTACAAAAAAAATTAAAAGAAAGATAACAATTCCTGATTTTTACTTATGGTAAATAAATAATAAAAAAACATAAAGCACATATGTACATATGTCAAAATGATGGAACTTTTTTTTTTTATAAATAAACTAGAGGCCTGGTGCACGAAATTCGTGCACTGGAGGAGGGGGGGGTTCCCTCAGCCCAGCCTACCCCTTCTGTGGGAAGCAACCAGGTGGGCAATCGGGGGATGGCACCAGCTTACATCGCCCCGCTGCTGCTGGTTGCCGCCCTCCCTCTTCCCCCAGCCCACTCCATCGCCATCCCCTCCCTCTGCCTGCTGTCATGCACCTTTGCTGGCCTGGTGACACCTGCTTGCCACTGGCCCCGCCCCCCACTGACTGGTTGTTCCCCTGTTTGGTTGATTGCATATTACACTTTTATTATATTCTCATTCTCAATTGGTGTAGGCAAAATTCAAATATTAAAACAGCCCTGGCCCTTGGTGCTCAGTGGTTAGGACAGCAACCTGTGCACCTGTATTATTATATAGGATTGCTTTAGTTGGAGGGAGGTTTATCCACCAAAATGAGCTCTAGAAGGAGTGGTTTTCAAGGTGTGGCTCTACATTTTAACAGGCAACCCAGATGAGTGTTATGCATTCTATTATTTGAGAGGATCTCTTTTGAAGAGTGACACTTCAGTGAAGAGACATTGGCTCATTAAAATTATGCCTCTGGAATGACCACATTCAGTATCTGATTTTTATTGTTAAAAATTGAGCACCCAGTATCTCTTTATCAATCTATATAGGCTCATAATGTTTCCACATCTTTGAAGTCCCCATACTCACAGAGCATTGAGTAACTTCAATAAGTATTTTTAAGGGATGCAGGAAAGCTAATTTAGGTGATAGGAATGTGTAGATAATATCATAGATTAGGAGAAAAGATGGCACATTAGCCTTACATGGTGGTGGCTGAAGGCAGAAAAACAAACATTGCAGCAAAGAAAGAGCACTAAGTCTGTCTTCCGCCCTAGTTGTTTGGCCATTGCTGAACTAAGCAAGCTTCCTTACACTGTTCCTTTTCCTCGATACCTTCTCTCAGTTATTAGAATCACCCATTCAACCAAATTGCCCAAACTGGAGAATCTGGGCTAATACCATTTGCTTTGTTCTTTCATCCCTGTGTAATCAGCCAAATAGTCCTGTCAGGTTTTCTCATAAATATGTCTCTGATCCACTGCCTCTGTTTAGTCCTAGTCCCCAACATCAGTCTCCCTTTTTCTTGGGCCCAAAAACACGCAGCTGTCTAAACTGATCCTTCCCACAGCCACCAGAATGGTTAACCTAAAATGAAAGCAAGACCCAGATGCTCCTATGCTTGACATTCTTTACTTTTCCTCCTTCTGTGTGGTCTGTCCTCTGCCTACTTCTCAGGCTGCCGCGGACCCAGGCTTGACTGCCGCCATGGGCAGCCGGGACCGGGGCTGTGGAGCCGGCGCGGTGGCTCAGCCAGCCCCAGACCCCCGTGCCCCCCATGCCTCACCTGAGCACACAGCCTCCTTTTGACGGGTCGTGATTGTTTCGGGGTCCCGGCCTAATTTGCATATTACCACTTTTATATATATGAGATGGCAATGTAACCACGAAACGACTTATGTCAAGTCCAACGTAACCCGAGGACTGCCTATAGTTTATTTTTGGCCCTAGCTGGTTTGGCTCAGTGGATAGAGCATTGACTGAAGGGTCCCAGGCTGTATTCTGGTCAAGGGCTCATGCCCTGGTTGTGGGCTCGATCCCCAGTAGGGGATGTGCAGGAGGCAGCTGATCAATGATTCTTTCTCATCATTGATGTTTTATCTCTCCCTCTCCTTTCCCCTCTGAAATCAATATAAACATTTTTTTAAAAAAGAGAATACTTCCTAAACCAGCAGTCAGAAATCCCTCTCACAATCCTTGACCGTTGGCTCCTAATCACTCACCTACCTGCCTGCCTGGTCACCCCTAACTGCCCCCTCTATCCCCGGCCTGATTGCCCCTCACTTCCTCTACATGCCGGCCTGGTCACACCCAACTGCCCCCCACTGCTGGCCAGGCCGCCCTCTACTGGGGATCAAACCCCCAACCTGGGCATTTGTCCTTGACTAGAATCGAAATGGGGACTCTGCAGTCTACAGGCCAACCAAAACTCTACCCACTGAGCGAAACCAACTGGGCTCACAAACTATTCTTATAGATGAGAATAGATACTCCACTGTATAAAACAGAGACTCTGCCTTTGTGTGATATAAATTCTAGTGAGCCAGATAGACAAACTCCCAGACACATAAGTTACTGTTAAGTAATATGAGTGAAATAAAATAGGACAATACTTATTTTCTGGTTTGAGAGGTAGAGAATGCTGCTTTGTTAATGTGTCTTCTGAGATCATCTTTTCTATGCTTGCATCTAAGTAGTGAAAAGGAGACAACCTTAGAAGACCTGAGAGTAAAAACATTGTAGACCCCCAAAATAAGTGAAAGGCTTTGGTGTATTTATAGGACAGAATGACCAATGTGACTGTAGCAGAATGACAGAAGGGAATAAACAGATGGGGTGATTTCACATAAATGTTTGGGTACCAAATTATAGATGGATTTATAGGCAATGGTAAGAACTTTGGATACTAATTCTGATTATTATAGACTTATTAAAGGATTTAAAGAAGGAAAGGGCTAGATTCTTTTTTATATTTTAAAAATACAAAGCTATTATTTAATGGCAAATGGATTGCAAGATGCAAGATTGGAACTAGAGAAAATGCAATTGCAACACTCTAGACTAATTTGCATTGAGATTGTAGCAAAGGAAGTAGTAAGAAGGATCACAGTGCAGCCCTGGCCGATATGACTCAGTTGTTTGGAGTGTTGTCCTCTGCACCAAAAGATCACTGTTTCTATCCCCAGTTAAGATGAGTGTGGGAGGCAGGGGAGCCAATCAATGTTTCTCTCTGTTCCTTTCCCTTCCTCACTTTCTAAAAAACAATAAAAATAAATAAATATGGGGGAGGGGTAGACTGGAGGAAGTCAATGCGGGGAAAGAAAGGGGAGATATGTAATACTTTGAACAATAAGAAATTATTTAAAAAAAAAAATTTTTTTTTAAATAAAAGGTAAAAATTCTTTTTTAAAAAAGAAAGGTTCATAGAGCAGACTGATGTGAAGTTTAAGCCTTAGGACTTATTCACAGATTGGATAGTGAGATAAGGAAAAATCAATCAAGAAAAGATGGTTATAATGTCTTGTTTTTACTTTTTTTGGTCAATTTAAAATATCTTTTAACTTCTGTCATATTTTTCCTCTACACTACCCTCATCCTTAATATCCTTTTAGAACCTCTTTCAGTTTAGAAGGGTCCCTCTCAATATTTGAAACTCAGTATTTGAAACCTGGTGGCTAAGACTTGCCTTCCATGAACTAGAATGTTCCCATTTTTTTCTGTGGTGACAATTTAAATTGCATTGTCTTTGATCTGGCAGTTGTCTTTGTGTTGAATTTGAATATACAAATTTAGCTTGTCTTCTACTTAAAATACTGGAAATATTTCCTTACACATTTTTTTAAAAAACCTGAATCTGTGTATGTATCTGTACATTTCTCCTTGAGTTAATTTGGTTTTTGTATATATATATTTTTTAATTTTTACCTGAGGATAAGTTTTTGTTGACTTTTTTTTAGAGAGATAGAGAGGAAAGGGGAAAGAGAAACGATAATGTGAGTGAGACAGTCAGACTGGTTACTTCCCACACACACCCCAACTGGGGCCAGGGATGAAGACTAAATTAAGGTACGACTGGGAATCAACCCAACCACCAGGAATGGAGCCGGCCCCTATTGGGGCGGGCTGGCTGGACCCCACCAGTGCATGTATTCGTGCACCGGGCCTTTAGTAGAACAATAAAATCAAAATTGATTAAAATTTAAATGTTGACTCAAAACCATAAAACTCCTATAAGAAAACATGGGTGTAAAATCTCAGACATGTCCTTTAGCAATACTTTCTCTGAAATGCCTCATTGGGTGAGGAAAACAAAAGGAAAAATAAATCTAAATAAAAGTTTTTGTACAGCAAAGGGAACAAACAAAATAAAAAGACAACCTACTGCCCTAGCCCTTTTGGCTCAGTGGTTAGAGTGTCGGCCTATGGACTAAAGGATCAAGGGGGAGTACTTCAGTTGCAGGCTCTATCCCCAGTCCCAGTTGGCGTGCAAGCGGGAGGCAACCAGTTAATGTATGTCTCACATCACTGTTTCTCTCTAACTGTTTCTCTTTCTCCCTTCCATTTTCTCTTAAAAAAAAAAAATCAATGGAAAGAAAATATATCCTAGGGTGAGTATTAACAACAGCAACAACAAAAAAGACAACCATGTGAATGGGAGAATATATTTGCTAAAGGTATATCAGATAAGGAGTTAATATCCAAAATTTATATAAAATTTATAAAGATTATGTAAAGTGAAGTGGGTGCGAATAATAGAAAATGAAGAGAAGAAAGTATAGAGAAGATAGTGTCTTTACATTGTTATTCATACTTGCTTTAATAATTTTAATAAAATATATAATTTTAATAAGTTTGTATATCTTAAAATAATTTTATCCAGCTTCAAGACTTGGTTGGAGCTTCTTCCTGTGCACTGAACTGGTTCCAGGTTCAATTCCAGTCGGGGCACATAACCTGGGTTTTAGGTTTGATCTCTGGTTGGCACATATGGGATGCAACTGATCAGTGTTCCTCCCTCACATCTTTCTTTCTGTCTCTCTCTCTCTCTCTCTCTCTCTCTCTCTCTCTCTCTCTCTCTCAATAAGAGCATATTCTCTGGTGAGGATTAGAACTAATAATTTTATCCTAGACATATTTATATGGTTTGGTTTTTTTGAAAAATAGTTAAACTTGACAAGTAAAAATAGCATAGAAATATAAATTAAAAGAAGTTAATTCCTTTATTAGTGATTATATTATGAAGTTTATTTAGTAATCAAATATGTTAGTAACAATACGATGTATCAAAAAGCTCCAAGTTTTTTTTAAAAAGGGCTCCAAGTTATATTGGGTCTGCTTACCTGAGATAATACTGGCCACAAACATTGTCATTTTTGTTAAACCACTTTCATGTTTTTTAGGATAACTTTAGAGCTGGTATATGCCTTATAAATCAGCCTAGTGTAACTGCCTTCAAAGGAGAACTGCATGGGAGATTTATATATTCATGGAAACTTCAGCAGATGATTCTGAGCAATGAGAACAAATTATAGAAAATGAACACTTTGTGAAATTCACTATATTGTTGGCATCAGAATTACTAATGTAAAGAAAGTATAAATTATAGAAAGTTTATGGTAATATAAATGAATTCCATTATACTACCTTCAAATTAAAATTGAACCAATAATCTTTTTCCTTTGGCACTCTACTTAATTTCATGTCCTCAAATAACTTAAATCCATAAATAATTTTCTGGTTTGGTCTCAGAGTGTTATAATTAATTATGTATGTGATATTGTTTGTGAGTGTTCACTGGAAATATGCTTTCTTACCTTACTATAGTAAAAACAGTTTCAACCTGGAATTCAGATTGTATATTTCAAAGATAAAGAGGTTCAACCTTAGAATAAATAGTTCTTTCAGTTGTCCAGATCAGAGCAAAAATTGAGCAAAGCTTTAAATAAGTGTCAAGGTTTTTTAGACTAAGATTATTATATTTTTATATTCAAATATCAATTTTCAACTTAGTCCTTTAATATTATCATTATTAGACTGTTATATATCAAAAATTGAGAAGGAAATTTTGATATCAATATACCATAGAACCAAGATTCTAAAAATTATTTCTTGTTGGTACATCATGTATGCTAAGAATCTTCAGCACTCACTTGTCATGAAAATTTTTCTCCACAATAGGTATTGTCTTCTTAAAGTACTAAAGCAATGTCAGACATTGAGGGAAGCTCTTATTACAGCAGGAAAAGAGGTTATATGGCATGGGAGGACAAATGATGAGCCAGCCCATTACTGTAGCATTTGTGAGGTAAACATTCTTATTGACAGTTGTTTTATTGTGAATTCACTAGTTGGTTTTTATAAAATTATAAATTTACCTATACTTTTATGTAATGCATTTTTTTTTTGAAATTGACTACTATAGCAATTATATTAATTTTTTATTTGATTGTATAATCACTTCATTATGTATTAACTTAGCAGTATCTCCTACAGAAGCATTCATGTAGTAGTACTTCCTTGCTAGGTGATAATCATCTCTGATTTTCAACTAAGAATAATCCTATATAATAAAAGGCTAATATGCAAATTTTCCCCTTCACCAGGAGTTCAGGGGGCAGGGCCGGCTGGCCAATCACCCATGGCTCCTCCCCCTGGCCAGACCCCACCTGTGCACAAATTTGTGCATCGGGCCTCTAGTCCATAATAAGTATACCAGTGCCAACAAATTAGATCTGTTTCACTATAAATTCAAACAAATCAGCATTAAATTATTTATATATGTTGATATTTCTCTTGTGGCAATGGCTTGCAAGAAGTACAGTAATAAAGATGTGGTACCTCCCATGGAGGAGCTTACATTTTATTTGGAGAAGACATATTATAAACAACTAATTGTAATGCCCATAAGACTCTTGATAGAAAACTGTCATAGAAAATTTGAGGAGAAAATCTTTTTCTAATATTGGCATAAGATGCCTGTGGATTTGTTAACATTTGAGTTTCTCCTTGAAGAATGAGTTTATTTTAACAGGCATTAAGTAGCTAGAATTGGAGGTTTATACATCATTAGGCTTTAGGAACAGAATAGTGATGGGGAAATTAATAGTGCATGTAATAAAGTCTGATACTGCAATGTGCCTAGAAAATTGTACTGCAAGGTTTTAGAAGAAGTCTTTAAGTGGAGGCTGTATGTAGCCAACAAAAGCATCTTAAATTCAGTTTAAGGAATTTGGTTTTTATCTCAGGATATTGATGCCATTAGCATTTTTTTACCAAAGCACTAAGTCAAAATATGTTTGAGGGAGTGGTGATTCATGATTGGAAAGGATGGAGGTGGAAAGAAAGCTCATTTTGGAGGCTATTGAAGTAGTCTTATATTCCTTACACTACATAATGTTAGGAATATAAAAGAAAAGAACTTTATAAGTGTTTAGAAAGTAAAATCCACAGGTTTTTGATGAGATAGTGAAGTTGAAAAATCCATACTTACCAAGTTGAAAAATCAGAAAACTTTCAACTGGGTCACTAAGCTATTTTACTTCCTATGAATAAGAAACCTTATGAACTCTGGAATTTTAGCAGAGCTATTCAAGGATGATTTAAGATAATGAATTTTTATTACTGACAAAATCAAGCAGAAGTCTGAGAACCACTTGACTAGAAAATCAGTTTTACACTAAACTTTTAAATTGTATATTTCTGAGATAAATTCATGAAATCCATTGGTTTTACTTAATTTATATCCTTACCAACATGTATTAAAAGATTAAACAGATTATGTTTAGGTGTTATACTTCAGGTAAATATGTATCTTTTTGGTATTTTAAAATAAATGATATACAGTATCAACCATAATTTAGGCTGAGCCTTTGCAACTCATTCTTTTTGTATGAGATTCTTTAATGTTTTTCATATGTTAATGCTCATAATAGCCTCTGTACTATTTTCTTTAGTATGAGTCTTAGAACTGAACACTTGCTTATATTCATTCAAGTGGTTTTCTTTTCTTGTTTTTGTTTGTTTTGTTTTGTTTTTAAGCACAATGATAGGCACTAGAGAGGGCCAAAAATGAATAATTTATAGTCGCTACCTTTGTGGAGCTTAGTATGGGAGGGAGACATATCCAAACACTGTGAATACTATTATAGAGAAGTTAAAAGAAAAAATAATGACTTGATTATTTGTGTATTATATTTTGAGGAAAATAAAAATAGACTGACTTTTATCAAACTTAAAATTAATCTGGAATTAAACTAGTAGATGTAATGAGTATTTAATTCCCTTAGGTTAGTATTTAAATATGTAACATTAACCTTCATTTTGCATGTGCTACAAAATAAACCTGGTGTTAAAACAAACAACCATGGGTTTTTAAGTAATTGCATTCAGTGAAAAATCACTATTCAGAGTTTTACATAAAGTAGAATTTCATAGTTACATAAAAGTGGTGCAATAAATTTAATAATCTCTATTCATTGTTTTTTTTTTCTCTTGTATAAAATAGGTGGAAGTTTTTGATCTGCTTTTTGTTACTAATGAAAGCAATTCTCAAAAGACCTACATAGTACATTGCCAGGACTGTGCACGAAAAACAAGCAGAAACCTGGACAATTTTGTGGTGCTAGAACAGTACAAGATGGAGGACCTGATGCAAGTCTATGACCAATTTACATTAGTAAGTGAAATCAACATGTGAGTACATAGCTAGGTTGTGAGCAGCAGTGACGGTAATTAGGAAGATATTTAAGTTTTCCCATTTCATAAAGAGAAAATATTTCTATGTTCTCAAACTTATAAGCAGTTTATATGTAATAAATTGATATGTATTACTATTTCTTCTTAGGCCTAAATAATATGAAAAAAATAAACTTTAAATTTGTGTATACTTTTTTTTAACAATTTTTTTTTAACTTCAGAGATAGAAACATCAATAATGAGAGAGAATTATCAATAGGCTGCCTCCTGTGTCATGACCAGGAATAAAATTATGACATCTTGGCTCAAGCACTGAGCCAAATTGGCTGAGCATTTTTTCCTACTTTTAAATTAATATCATCGTCTTTATGCTCTTTGATTTAAATAATTAAACCAAAATAGATAACTGTAGGAATGATCCAAAAAGAAATCAGTATTTTTAAAAATATATTTGTGCTTTCAGCATTAATTGTATTTAGTTAAAACTTAGTCTTTGCTGTTAAGTAGTAATCTTATAGGAATGTTTGATGATGGCTCATGTCTAGGTATGATATATAAGATGCATTAAATTTAACTATATTGTGAATTCCACAATTTTTTATTTCAAGGACAAGTTGCTTGGAATAGCATTTAGTACTTCTGGCTTTGAATAATAGCTTTATGAATGCAAACAGTAGTTATTCATGAGTTGTTAATATTGATCCAGTTCCATTGCTTTTGCTTCTAAATTTTGAAATTAAATTTCTGGTATTTTTTACTGGATGGCTCTCAGCATTGCTTCATAAAGAAAAAAATTTATGACATGCATGTCATATATAAGCCAGTTACTTACTAGTGAGATTTTAATTGAATTTTTAAAATTATTTTTCCATAAGACTCTGAGCATCTAAAAAATTTGTGATTTTAATGTTTCATAAGAATTTCTAACAAAGTGATGAAATATAAGAAAATGGGGGGTAGTGATTAAGGAAACTTGGGGAACTAGTCATAATAGACTAGTCATAATAGGAGCACGTCACGTAGCAAGTTCCTGAACTTTGGACATGAGTGTTTGTTTCTAACTCACTTTATAAGTAGGTGGTATATTGTTTATAGCCATGAGCTAGAGAATACTGGTAAGAATTAATATACCAACTAACATACTTTATTTTTAATTTTAGGTTCCTTCAGTATCATCCTCCACTTCTTGATATTGCCCCATGATATTAAATGATGCCTTTTCTGCTCTTCAGGAGAGTTTGCACCAGTGATGTTTCATGAGACTGCTAACTAAAAGCTATTTCTATGCAACCTTCCAAATATAGAGTGTCAATCAACTTGGCATGAGAGCACTGCCTGTACTCTCAGATCCAGTTGTACTTAATAATAGACATGTTTCATGGTATCTGACAAAACTGGCAATTTTCAACACGCTAATGACTTGATACCTTTTTTGTTTCTCTATTTCTGGATTAAGAATTTTTTTTAATTTATATTTTACCCTTTTAAGAATTTTTCTGAGGGGCAAAAACAGTTCTAGGTTGTCATTTGTTTGGTTAAGATACCAAATTTATATCTTTGATCAACTTTTTATTAATGTAAAAAATTAGATGAGAATATTTCTCTACTGCTTGTTTATTGATTGGAGGCCAGTCACCAGGATGATTATACTTTTGGCTCCAAATTACTTTTGTTTAAATTTAATAGCATAATAGGACACAAAGATAATGGCTTGCACAAAGAATAAGAAATAAACTTCAAATTTGTGATTTTTCTTTTTAATTTCATACAGATTCATACTATTTATGAATATATATTTATTGCTTGAAAATACTTGTGAATGGAATGTTGTTGTTTTTTATATTTACCTGCCATTAAATATTAAGGAGTTCTGTCATTTTACACACTACTCCTTTTACATTTTCTATGTATAAATAAAACTATTTAGCATTGTACATAAACGTCTATTAAAATTGTTTAATGTTTAAAGTGTTTTGCACTCTTGAGTTTTAGAAAGTCTTCTGTAAAGATAAAGTTTGTGTTCATTTTCAAATCTGATTACATATATTTTATGTATACATATAAAGACACATGTATAACAAAATATATATTGTATAAACATAAAGCTTTTAAACTTTCACATCTCTGGTAGTTTTTGAGGTGCCTGCTATAAAGTATCACTTACAAAGGTATGTTTATTTTTAAAGTACATCTTTCAGTCTGGTTTAAGTTGCAATTATTGCAGTGATAGCCAGTAAATAATTACTGGCGAAACGTACAGTAGAAAACGTAGTGACTGAGGGAACATTATGTAGATTTCATAAATTTTGTTTATCCTGTGTTTATTATGAAAAAGAAATTTAGAATGATAGCCTTCATTTGAGGGAACAAATGTATTAAGTAATTACTTTGTTTTTTTAAAATTAGATGACTGAAACTTCATGCTTTATTTTTTTGTATAACATGTAGTGGAAGGAGGAATTACTCAAATTTTGTATCACAAATTCAGTAAATATTAACAAATTGTATGAAGACTATTATTTCATATGAACAAATTACTTTAACCGTAGTATCTCTCATTTTATAACAACTCTGCTTTCTGAGGTATTTGGCCTGTATTTTTGGTAGAGTTCTATAAATTAACTTGTGCGAGTGTTTAAAAGAATTTATAATTCTATCTAGTGATGTGGCTTGAGGATTTCACATATAATGAATTATCCTTTTCAATTTTGGAGCATTCTGGCTTCCTAGAAAACATTTGAAGAAAAAAACTTGCAGATACTTTATTAAATTAGATAATAACTTTTTAAAAACTTAAATCTCGCCCTGACCGGTTTGGCTCAGTGGATAGAGCGTCAGCCTGCAGACTCAGGGGTCCCAGGTTCGATTCCGGTCAAGGGCATGTGCCTTGGTTGTGGGCGCGTCCCCAGTGAGGGGTGTGCAGGAGGCGGCTGATTGATGTTTCTCTCTCATCGATGTTTCTAACTCTCTATCCCTCTCCCTTGCTCTCTGTAAGAAATTAATAAAATATATTAAAAAAAAAACTTAAATCTCAACGGTAATTTTTATGTATAATAATTTAGAAGGAAATATTTGCAGATCTATTTTATTTATTTTTAACATTTTTTGTTGATTTCAGAAAGGAAGGGAGAGGGAGAGAAAGATAGAAATGATAAGAGGGAATCATTGATCAGCTGCCTCCTGCATGGCCCCTACTTAGAGATCAAGCCTGGAACTCGGGCATGCACCCTGACCTGCAATCAAACCGTGACCTGGTTCATGGGTTATTGCTCAACCACTCAGCAACACCAGCTGGAACAGTATTTCAGACTACAAATACAATAGTGGTTCCATAGCTTTGTTTAGTATCTGCTAAAACAAGTGTGGAAAAGGTGTGACATTTACTTGGTATCTCTCATACACAAAAGGATTTTACCACCAAATATGGGGAAATTGTGTAAGTATACCATATAAGAGTATTTCTAGGGTTTGTGTTAGAGGACTGGATTAAGACATTTACTGTTCACATCTCACATATGGGAGGTAACTGATTGTGACTTTGGAAAAGTAATGGGTTTTATTTTATTATTTAGGAAGAGACCCCAATCCACAAATTACATTTTAATGGGATGAAAACTTCTATTGCAGAGTAACATCATAGTTTTCATAATTTCACAGCACATTACATTAATGTTTTGATGATGCTGGTGTACAGTCTTTATAGTATACTGTCATTTTCTATGCCTTCAATTCATTCACCACTTACTCCCTGACTCACCCAGAGCCACTTCCAGTCCTTTAAGAACCTAAACAGGTGTATAATTTTTTTTACCATTTATTCCCTATTTTTACTAGTAAGCTGGGAAAATTCCTGGGCCAGTGGAATGAGAAAACTGAGACAAGATTATTAAACAAAGCCAAACAATTTGAATTTATAGCCAGCTACTGAATTGCAAGGCCTGATGTTCCCTAACCCAGGATACTTGAGAGCTAATGGTTTATACCTCCTCTCCCAAACAGAACAGAGATCCAAGTAATGCCATTTGTGCCAGTCAAGTCCAGGGATGAATGAAGTCAGGGGAATGAATAATAAAATAAATAGACTTAAAAGAAAAGTAAAAGATCCCTAACTCCTGTTTATGTTCATTTTGATGCATCAGGTTATTAAAAATGCACCTGTAAAGTATCTGCTGAAACGTCCCCTAGAATTGCCACCAGAAGAAGCAAAATAAAAACCCTTAGAAACCCAGTGTGGGCTCTAAAGCATACATACCTATGCCACTTTTCCTGGCATGAAGTTTAGTTCCTCCTAAACTCTTAAGGGCCCCCAACAAGACTTGGAAGCAGGGAAACAGTGGACAGCTCATCCAGGGCTTACTGGCTGCTCTTGTCTCCAAAGACCCTTTTCTCTGACTTCTCAATGAGCTAAAAGCAGCCCTGCTTTGGCTCACTTGTGTCTCATAACATTCCTAGAGACTCAAAGCAGACTACCACCTATGCCCTCTTGTTGCTTCTAACCTGAGTCCTTCATTTGTTTCACTGCTCCAACTTTAATAAATGTACTCTCAAATCACCTGGACTCATAATGTGAAATCTTTCCGTCAGAAACCATACTGCAGGCCAGTCCTGGCCTGTCTCTGTCTGGTAACATAAGTATACTCTGGTGTTCACGCAACAATAAAATTAACACATTTTCAGAATTTGGCTGGACTGAGTGCTGCACAGATCTCTTAACTGCTAATATTTTTGTGATTCTCTTTTAACAACTAAATATTACTAATAAAAGTGGACAAACTCTTTCCAAACAACCACCATAGAACAAAGATTATAAAGTACTAGCATGACATCTGATTTTTTTCTTAACCACTTTTATTTTGTGTTACTTATAACACATCTATTGTCTCATTTCTATTTGAAATGATTAATTGCCAAGATTAACATAAATTGAGTTTACTGTATTTACTTTGTCATGAAAATGACTTGTGTTCCTTTATTAGTAATACATATTTGAGTTATATGTCAACAAGTATATTTTGTAGAACCTTAAAGTCTTCATTTTATTTTATTTTTTAAGTATATTTTATTGATTTTTTACAGAGAGGAAGGGAGAGGGATACAGAGCTAGAAACATCAATGAGAGAGAAACCGATCAGCTGCCTCCTGCACACCCCCTAATGGGGATGTGCCCACAACCAAGGTACATGCCTTGACTGGAATCAAACCTGTGACCCTTCAGTCCGAAGGCCGACGCTTTATCCACTGAGCCAACCCGGTTAGGGCTTCAAGTCTTTAAATGAATAAAGAACAGGAAATGAAAAAAAATTTGTATATTATTTAGGAATAGACTCCAAACCACAAATTACATAAAATAGCAGATATTAACAGAAATTGGGAACTAAGTTATATTATCTGCTCTTTGTTACCAATGAAGTAGGGACTTTTCTTATGGCATGTAAATTACTACTAGTTTTTAGTAATAATTTAATGAGTGTACAGTTCAACCTAGTTAATCTGGGTTTTTTAAATTCACTTTTTAAAATATGTTTTTATTAATTTTAGAGAGGAAGGTAGAGAGAGGGAGAGAATCATCCATGATGAGAGTGAATCATTAATCAGCTGCCTCCTGCACTCCCCATACTGGGGATTAAGCCTGCAATCCAGCATATGTCCTGACCTGACCCGGAATCGAACCATGTTAATCTGCTATTTACCAAAAAAGAATTTAGGCTTCTGCATTTTCAAATAAAACCCATTACCTTTCCAAAGTCACAAATGAAAATTCAGACCATCATGTATATCAAGAGGGAAGAGAGAAACATTGATGTGAGAGAGAAACATTGATCAGTTACCTCCCATATTTGCCCCTACTGGGGATCAAACCAAACCCAGGTGTATGTATGCCCTTACTGGAATCAAACTCACAACCTTTCACTGTGTGGGACGACATTCCAACCAATTGAGCCACTCTGATTGGGCAATGAGGTACATAATTTTTTAGAAAGTAAAATTAAACCTTCAGAATATATTTGGTCAACTAAAGTTTGTAATAATAGGAACTCAGTATCAATAATGAGTTTGTTCTGAAATATTAGAGACTTTTTGTTTAATCTTTAAATTGTGCTATTTTCATTTATTTAAAGCTGCTTGTTTAGTATCTGCTAAAGACCAAGTGTAGATAAGGTGTGACATTTACTTGATATCTTCCATACACAAAAGGATTTTACCATCAAATAAAGGGTACTTGTGTAACTATACCATATAAGAGTATTTCTAGGGTTTGTGTTAGAGGTTTGGATTAAGTCATTTACTGTTCACATCTCACAGAACATGAATGTTTGGGAACTTAATGCTTTAGGGCGGTTAATAGAGAACTGAAGAAATTAAAAGAACCTGATGGTAGATAGACCTTTTAGATTTTTCCTGCAGTTAGTAAGTGGAACTCTTCTGGGTTGGTTTTAAACAAAGAATATTACATTTGCATTTGAAAAATTTTCCTGTTTTCAGTGATTCTGGCTATCTTGACCAGTCAGTTAAGTGCCACTCCCTCCCACACTGTTTATTCTATACACATTTGCCAGAGAGATTTTTCTTTAAAAAAAAAAAAAAAAAAAAAAAGCAAAGAAATGCTTTGGGTTTGAAAGTTTACATTTTAATTTTGTTTCCCATGGAGAAGGGGCCTTTGAATAAGAACAAAAGGGATGGAACATAAGATTATGTATCTGTAGAATATGGAAGTGATTTAAATTTGTTTACAAATGAACAGATGGGCATATAAGTCTGGAATTTA